GCCTCCGAGCTCCAAACCTCCCTGGTCCAACCGGGCCCCCGCCAACGTGGTCACGCCCCCCGCGGACTGGCCTCCTCCGCCCTCCAGACCCGCCCCTCCTCAGCCCCCACCAACCAGTACCAAGCTAAGGCTTAACCACGCCCACTGCGTCCTGGCCCCGCCCCAGGATTGCAATACCTGGTTTTTTCTCAAAAGCAGGTCTCGGCCCAGCTGAGATTCGGGGTTATACCCACGCCTCTTTTTGCGTTTTTAGAAAAACTCCCCTACTTTATAATATTTTTAATTGACTTTTAGAGAGGGAAACATCATGTGAGCACAAAATATGATTGGCTGCCTCCTGCACGCCCCCTACTGGGGGATATAGAGCTGGCAACCCCGGCATCCGCCCTAACCAGGAATGGAACCAGCAACCTTACAGTGCACCCCACGAGGCCCAACCAACTGAGCCACACCGGCCAGGGCTACCCACGCCTCTTAAATGAGCACCCGCCCCAGCGCTTAGCTCCTCCGTCCTCTCATAGGAAGCCTCCTCCAGGCGCCCTAACCCCATCGCCTTTTTGGGTCAGACTTCTTCCCGGCATCTAGCCCCGCCCCCTTACCAGGCAAAGGCCTCGCAAGCCCCGCCCCAGTTCCAGCTTAATTTCCTCTGAATCGGACTAGACTCCAGCATTGGATTCCGTCTTCTGCCCCTGGCTTCACCTCTCTAGACCGGGCTCCATCCCTTTTCTCCTCCGCACTCCACCCGTTCCAGTGCCGAATTCCAACCACTACCTCGGCGGGTGGCTGCGCCCCACACCAGCGTTAGGAACTCCAGTCTAAACGGGCTCTACAGGCCCCACCTCACATCCTCTTATGGTCCCCTTCTAACTCCGCCCACCAGAATTCTGGCCCTCCCCAAAGCCCTAATCACGCCCTCAAGGACCAGCCTCCTCCTCCAGAGGTGGCCCGAAATTGCAGCTCCACCCCACACCCCAACCATGCCCCTTCCTTAGCTCCTCCCCCACCACCTTCAATTTCTCCCTCTCCCTAAGCCGTGGGGTCCAGAGTGGGCTTCAGGGATGAGACCACAGCCTGGAGGGCCACACTAACCCCCTCCTGCCGCCCCCTCCCCATTAAGGCGGGGAAGCTTCAGTGCCCTCCCAGCAGCGTCTTCAGGAATTCGGGGAGGCCTGTGGGAGGGGGGAGGGAAGACGTATCAGGGGAGTGGAGGAAGGAAGACCCTTTCCTCCCACCTCTTCCGCCACGGAAAAGCCTGCCAAGCACAGCGACCCAGGCGGCCCCCGCCAGAAATACAGTTCAAAGGTTAGCGAAAGCGCTGCGTTTAATACACAACTGGTGGCCAAGTAATTCAAGTCCTTCGAAGAGTCACCTGCTAGTTGCCATGCCTTAGATGTAATCTCCTGGAGGCGGGAAACTCATCCCGAAGACTAGCACCTACCCGCCATGACCTCTATTAGGTGGTAACTCGGCGGCGTCTCCGCCATTGAGGTGCCAAGGCGCCCCCCATTTGTTGCCCTGGCCCTACCCCGTTCGCTGTTCCTGGCTCCTCCCCCCTTACATTTAACCCTCTCCTGGCTGGAGTGTGGCAGAAGCAAAGGACAGAGGAGCGAGGCTGCGGGAAGTTAGTGCAGAGTCGGCAGGAGCGGTCAGCGGGCGGCCCCGGGGGGTGGGGCGGCCGCCACCACCTTGCAGAAACGCACCCTCTGGAAGTCGGTGATCTCCGCAGTCTCCTGGCCCTCGGGGCCCGTCTCTGGGGAGAAAAGGAGGGGTCAACGGAGGGGAACTGTCCCAGGAAAACCCGTCTAGCCTCGCCCCTCATCTCGTTTGAGTTTGACTAGTCATCTCCGCACTAAATAGTTCAGGGGCCACAGCCTCTAATCCTCGCGGTGAACCCACAAAGCAGCAGAACCCTGTTTACAATCGAGAAAATAAACTGGTATAGCGAGATCACGGTCACTTGGCCAACACATAAAGCGCTAGGGCAGCCTGGCCTCACCCACCACCCTAAACTGTCCTTTCACACCCCAGCCCATCCCCACCTCATGTGTTTAAATCTACTTCCCTGTGACCGCCCTACTGTACCTGCCCTCCTGTGCCCTTGTGGGCCTCCTGAGGTGGACCCAGACCTTCCCTGGCTGGGCTCCCAAATCCTAATCCCTCTCCTGCTTCACAATCTGGCTTCCACGGCGTGGGGGTGGAGAAGCGGGGTTCAGCCTCACTCCTACTCCGTTGGACCCAATGTTCCAATCGGGCCCGCATTTCTATTCTAATTTACCCCTCTTGGTTACACCTCAAAAATCTAATCCGGCTCACAGCTAAATCCATTAAACTTCCCCTCCCCATCTTTTTAAAAAAGTCTATTTAAATTTCTAATCCTTCCCTTAGCTCCACCCCCTGACCTTGGCTCCATTTCCAGAGCCACCCCAGCATCCTAACCTCAAACCCCCACCAAGCCCTCCTCCCCTCGCCCCAGAGGACAAGGAAGGAAGCAGCCACCTCCAGGGCCCATCAGCCCCCACCTGGAGCTGCCTCGGACCCCTCCTCTTCAGTTTTCTGGGTTCCTGGGAGGCTGGGCTCACTCTCCAGGGAGGCAGGGGCTGGCTGGTCACCTCCTGGGGAAGGAGGAGGCTCAGTCAAGCCCCTCCCCCTCCAAGTAGCCGCCACCCCAAGACAGAAGGACCCAAGGGAGTGAGAGGCAGTTCAAGGACACACCTGGGGAATGTCATTTGAACGTGACTGTCATTGAATGTGAACTCTTTATTGGGTAGGGAGCTCTGGGATGGTCCAGAGCAGGGGCAGTATCTGGGGCTGGGCATTCCAGAGATGGGTATGGACAGTGCACACAGGGGCATGGACTGTCCTCCCTTGCCGCCAGGGCAGTGGGGCACACGGGATCCCAGGGCCCAGCCCGAGGATCCCCCCCACCCATGCACCCTTTGAACGCACACACAAGCAGCCAGCTTCATGCATTTTCAAAAGGCCAGGCCTCACCCGGAGAGAGGGCGGTCCGGGGAGAATTCAGCTCCATCTCTTCACCCCAGTCAGACACAGGCTGGTGGCCCCCAGGGGGTGAGAAGGGGCTGGACGGTGTGGCAGGGGACTGGGGAAGTGGCAGGGGCTCCTCAGGGCCCGAGGGCTCTTTGTTGGCCTGCTCACTGCTGGGGCTCCCAGTGGGCTCAGATCCTTGGGGATGGTGGTCTTGGGCTGGCGTCTCCGACTCCGCCTCAGCCACTGCAGCCTCCTCCTCCTCTTCCTCCTCCTCCTCCTCCTCGGCCTCCTCCTCGGCCTCTGCCTCAGTCTCCTCTTCCTCACTCACATCTTCCCATTCCTCGTCCTCCCCCATGTCCTCCTCCCCCTGATCCTCAGGAGGCCGTGGGACAGGGGCTGGGGTCTCAGGCAGCTGTGGGCAACACAAGGTAGGCTGAAGAGAAGGTGGGGGCTCTGAGCACCCCCACGCCTCCTGCCCAGGGATGACAGTCCTCCTGACCTGTGTGGGCGTCTCCTCGGGGGCAGTGGGCTGTGGGGCCTCAGGGGCTGGGGACTCTGCCTCCTTCATCTCCCAGCGGTCATCATGGTCACTGGAGAGGTCAGAGGAAAGGGTCATGACACCTGCGGGGGACAGGAGGAAGGGGCTTCCACCTCCCACTCCTCCCCAGAGAAGAGATACAAAGTTCAACATTGGGGGGGGAGTTGCAGGATTTCCAGATGAGACTCGGCATGCTGGAGCACTCAGGAAGAAATGGCAGGTGCATGTCTTCAGGTGTCAGGACAGAAGGAAGGGACCAGGTGGCAGAAGAGGAAATGGGTGGGAAAAGAGAAGGGGGCAGATGATCGTAAAGGAGAGAGACAGGCCCCAACCCCTGAAACCAAGCACCTGACCCCGCAGAAAGACAAGTGCCCAAAAGAACACAGACCCACAAATACACAAGTCAGAGAACGACCCAGTATAGGGCCACACAACCCCCTGGGAGTGCACACATGCCCAGGGAAGGGGTCTCCCCACCTGTAGGCACGGGGGACTGCCTTAGCCTGGGCTCGGCTGCCCTTCCTCTTCCTGCGGCTGACCTCAGCTTTGTGCTGGGACAGGAACTCCCTGAAAGTGGGGGGCTTGGGGGGCCGGGCCCAGGCCTGGTCATCTGCAACAGAACCCAGGAGGAGTTGGGGGTGGGGGACATGGCACAAACCACCCCCACACTTGGCCCAGCCAGCTGCCTCACCCCACCCAGGGACACCCACTCACCATAGCGGTGAGATGGTTCAAGGGCAGTGGCTGGGCCATCCTTGAACCTGGGGAAAGAGAAAAGAAGTGAGTAGGCTGCTGGGGGAACAATGGAAGCAAGAGGGTTGGGGAGAGATTAAGAGGGAGAGTTGGGGGCCAGGGTCAGAAATCAAGATCATAGGAGAAGACATGGTCAATGAGAGGGGGGGTTACTGATTAGAAGGGGGATAGACAAGAGGCAATTTTGACATCCTAACAAATACAGAAAGAAAAAATTCGGTATTTGACCCCCCACAACAAAAATTTGGAAGGTATATGATCCCTAACTTCCTGTCTGGCCCCATTGCCTATTACTACCTCTCACCTTCCCTGCTAAACAGGTTCTCCTACAATGTGGAGCTCCTGCCTCAGGGCCTTTGCACCTGCTGCTCCTGGGACACTTCTCCAGATCTTTTTCTTTTTAATATATTTTTACTGATTTCAGAGAGAAGGGAGAAGGAGAGAGGGGCAGGAACAACAATGATAGAGTCATTGATTGGCTGCCTCCTGCACGCTCCCTGCTGGGGATAGAGCCCCCAGCAACCTGGGTATGTGCCCTGACAGGGAATCAAACCACGATCTTCTGGATCATAGGTCAATGCTCAACTACTGAGCCACGCTGGCTGGGCTCTCTAGATATTTTTTAAAAAATTGATTTGAGAGAGAGAAAGAGAGAGAGAGAAACATCAATCTGCTGTTCCACCCATTCACTGGTTGATTACTGTATGTGTGCCCTAACTGGGGATTGAACCTGAAACCTTGGTGTATTGGGAAGACACTCTAACCAACTGAGCTACCCATCCAGGGTTTCTCCAGATCTTTTAGTGGCCTGTTCCCTCACCTCCTTCAGATCTCAGCTCAGGGGCCTTCCTAAATCTCCATCTAAAATAATCATATCTTATTACATATATTATCTAAGTCTGAAGCTACAGCTTCCATCCCTCTGCGTACTCTGCTTATTACTCTTCACGACCTGACATTAGATCTAGCCATGACCCATCTTTCCCACTAGATTCTAAGTTCCATGAAGCCAGAAGAGTTTTATTCACTGCTGTATCCCCACCACCTAGAACCTTCCATGACACATACGAGGGACTCAAAAACACCTGCTAATGAAGTCAATACACACGTGTTAATACATGAGATTGGTTGCAGGCTGCTCTAGGGACACGAGAGAAAAATAATTACTTTCTCATTCTTAACCCCTGAGAACATCTCCCCAAAAGCCCAGCTGCCTACGCTTTAGAATGATCAGCGACAATATCTGTGCAAAATAGAGGGTGAGGCAAAAGTAGGTTTACAGTTGTTTGTATAGAAAATACAGTAATTAATAAATAATACAAGAATTCTGCTTCTCATACTCACAACTGTAGACCTACTTTTGCCTCACCCTGTATTTCTCACACTTGCACAAGCTTAGCTCACAATCCAAAAATAAATGCTCTGACCACCAGGTACACAGACAAGAGNTGCACGCTCCCTGCTGGGGATAGAGCCCCCAGCAACCTGGGTATGTGCCCTGACAGGGAATCAAACCACGATCTTCTGGATCATAGGTCAATGCTCAACTACTGAGCCACGCTGGCTGGGCTCTCTAGATATTTTTTAAAAAATTGATTTGAGAGAGAGAAAGAGAGAGAGAGAAACATCAATCTGCTGTTCCACCCATTCACTGGTTGATTACTGTATGTGTGCCCTAACTGGGGATTGAACCTGAAACCTTGGTGTATTGGGAAGACACTCTAACCAACTGAGCTACCCATCCAGGGTTTCTCCAGATCTTTTAGTGGCCTGTTCCCTCACCTCCTTCAGATCTCAGCTCAGGGGCCTTCCTAAATCTCCATCTAAAATAATCATATCTTATTACATATATTATCTAAGTCTGAAGCTACAGCTTCCATCCCTCTGCGTACTCTGCTTATTACTCTTCACGACCTGACATTAGATCTAGCCATGACCCATCTTTCCCACTAGATTCTAAGTTCCATGAAGCCAGAAGAGTTTTATTCACTGCTGTATCCCCACCACCTAGAACCTTCCATGACACATACGAGGGACTCAAAAACACCTGCTAATGAAGTCAATACACACGTGTTAATACATGAGATTGGTTGCAGGCTGCTCTAGGGACACGAGAGAAAAATAATTACTTTCTCATTCTTAACCCCTGAGAACATCTCCCCAAAAGCCCAGCTGCCTACGCTTTAGAATGATCAGCGACAATATCTGTGCAAAATAGAGGGTGAGGCAAAAGTAGGTTTACAGTTGTTTGTATAGAAAATACAGTAATTAATAAATAATACAAGAATTCTGCTTCTCATACTCACAACTGTAGACCTACTTTTGCCTCACCCTGTATTTCTCACACTTGCACAAGCTTAGCTCACAATCCAAAAATAAATGCTCTGACCACCAGGTACACAGACAAGAGCCCCTTTTTTCTCAAGCCAGCATCAAAAATAAAACTTCTAGATGTGGCCCTGGCTGGGTGGCTTGGTTGATTAGAGCGTTGTACCATACACCAAAAGACTGCGGGTTCAATTACTGGTCAGAGCACATAGGTTTTGGGTTCAATCCCTGCTCGAGGTGAGTACAGGAGGCAACCAATCAATGTTTCTCTCACATCAATGTTTCTCTCTCTCCCCTCCCTCTCCCTCCCTCCCTTCCTCTCTAAGCATATCCTTGAGTAAGAATTTAAAAAATAGACTTCTAGGTGTGAAATCTTCCAATGTAGCAAAGGACAGACAATGGCATAAAAACTACAGATGCTGATCTTAAGACTGTCGTTTGTCAGCTCCTTCAGAAACTCTGCCATCTTTGATACGGAAGCTGGTCCTCCTGTCAATGATGCAAAGATGTCTTAGCTTTAAGTGTGACTAACTGGGTTTTTCCTGGACCCGAAAAGGGACAAAGTGAGACCTGAGGGTAACAATGGCACTGGGATACGGAGTTTGGGTTGGCGGATGCAAATTAGAGGAATGAAGGGAGGGTGCAAAGGTCTAATCACTGTTAGCAATGCTTCCTGCCCTCCCCGCGTGAGAGTTTACATCCACGCCTTCAGCCGTAGAGTCGCAGCAGTACCACCTGCTATAGTGGTCAGTTTAAGTTCCCGCCCCAAGATGCTGGGTCTGTTGGCTAACAGAATGGGAAAGTGCCCACTCTCCCTCTGGCGCATCTGCCTAAGTCATGACCTGCTCCCCTCAGCCTGAACCTCAGAAAGAACACGTGTGGAATGGAACTGAGTTCAGCCTGCTTCGAGAAGCCAAGCCCCACCAGACCCATAGCTGAACATCCAGCCTGGTTCAGCTCAGCCCAGCTGACCTGTGAGCACGTGAGAAAGAAATGCTTTTATACGCGACTGAGATCTGGTGGTTACACAGCACTGCCATAGCGATTGCTAACTGATACACAGGATGAGAAACCAGAGCCAGTCAAAGGAGCTGGAAGTCAGGGCCCAGGTCAAGGAGCCAAACGGGCGAGCAGGAATGACACTCACATCCCATCGGTCTTCTCAGCATCCCACTCCCGCCGCCACTGGCCGGTGGGCTTGCGGTGTCTCTGCAGCCGCTCCTGGTCGATCTTCTCCCTCTCCTGCTTCCAGCGCAGGTACTCTGACCGCTCCCGGCCCGTCATGGAGAGCGTCATGTCACTGGCACCACCCAGGCCGGCCCGGCGGCCCTGGTCCACAACACAGGCAGTCAGGACACTACTCCACCACCCACCCCACTCTACCTCTACCCCATGTTCTCCAAACTCAGAGGTACAGCCACCTGCTCAAGGTCACACAGGAGGCGACAGAGATCAGAACCAGGTCTGCTCATGTGCCACCTCCTCAGAGGCCATCCCAGATCTCTATCCCCTCATCCTGCTGGATTTTCTTCTTCACAACACTTGGAATTATCTAACGTCTCATTATATATCCATCCATTTAGCTCCCACGAGAATAAACTTCATTAGGGCAGGGGCTTTGCCTTGTTTAAAACCCTTAGGACAGTGCCCATACCCAGTTGGGCAGTAAACATTAGTAATATTAGGAATGAGAGGACATTGCCAAAAGAAAGCAGTGTGGTCCTGGCACCAGAACCAAGTGCCTTGGGGTGAAACCTGGGAGATGTTGCCTCTCCCTGCTCTGTGTCGCTGGCTGCTGAGTGGCGCTCAGCACGGGTGTGCCAGCAACGTTTGCTGCTGAAGTGAGATTCCGGCTGCAGAATGGCCCGTGGCCCAGCGTGCCCAGCTGTTGGCACCCACCTGCCGCTCCTGCTCAAGGCCACAGCGCACCCGCTCAAAGTCGGGACCCCCCCAGTTGCGCCCGTGCCGGCGGCTGCCTTCCCGGCGGTCCCGCTCAGGCTCCTCCAGGGGCCCGCTGCGCCGCCGGGGGTCGTCCAGGAAGTTCCGCACAGGGTTGGGCTCCAGGACGCCTTCCTGCGGGCACAGGGATCGGGGTTGGCAGCTCGCCCAGCCCAGGCGGCCGTGCCCCACCAGCACTGACCCCCTGGCACTGACCCGCTGATTGCGCTCATACTCCGCAATCTTCTCCATCTCTTCGTTCATCTTCTCGATGTTCTGCCTGCGCCGCTCCTCCCACTCCTGCGGGGACAGACGCCAGGTGTCAGGAAGAACCACACGACCCTTCTGTGCTAAGGAGTTAACATGACAGGCCTGAGTGGCTCCTCAGACAGGCCTGCTTTAAAGGCAAGCCCCGGGCTGGTGTCTCGGAATTTGGCTCCAGCATTAAACGGTTAATTGATAAGGGGGGCTCGCTGTGCCTGGATTTGTGCTATCAGTTTGGTGTATGCTGAATGCTATACTGGAGTCAGGAATTTGGATATATACCAAGCAGAGAAGACCTACATGGCCAGCCCCCAATAAAAACCCTGGGCTGTAGGTCTCTAATGAGTCCCTGGTAGACAACCCTTCCTGTACGTTGTCACAACTCAATGCCCGAGGAACTACGTGCAGCCTGTGTGGCCCCACTGGGCGAGCTGCTCTCCTCCAGACTTCAACCCAGGTACCCTTTCCTCTTGGCTGATTTTGCTTTGAATCCTTCCATTGTCATGTATTTCAGCCGGGAATTCTAGCAAAACACTGAACCTGGGAGAGGGGTTGGAGACCCGGACACACGATGGTCACACAGTAATACTGACAGTAATAACAGTAATAACTTGGCACCTGGCTTGGTGAACCTCCACAATCGGTTCTCTCGTTCCTCCATAACAACAGAATTTCATGCAAGCACGAGGCCAAACTGCTAGAGATGATGTTTTCATTCCCAGGGCTCAACATACAAGAGGGAAATAAACTTCTACTTGATTTAACTGGGGTCTTTTTGTTATAGCAGCTTAGCATGTACAGATAATAAACATCCATAAGTCTCACTCATTGAGCACTTCCTCAGAGGGTATCAGTGTCACAGGATGTTTATGATAACCTTTAAAACAGGTATTCCTCCTGCTTAAGAGTGAGAACCCAGAAGCTTCCAGAAGGGAAGTGAGCTGCCCCAGGACAGGGAACAGGTAGAGCCATGGTGCCCCCAAGTCCATGGCAGGCTCTGAGCCAGTATGGTGGACAGCCTCCCACCCGCTAACCTGCGTGTCAGGGCACTGGCAGTAGTCACAGCACTGCTCTCCACAAACAAGGCCAGGGAATGAGAAAGACAGGGAGAGAGAGAAAGCACATGCACTGGACAGAGCTCGCCAGACACAGAGTCCATCAGAGCCAGCCAGCCAGTGCCAGTAAGAGAAGAAAGAAATGGGAGAGGGAAGGCAGGTGGGCAAGCAAACACCAGAAGGCAAAAGAAGGGAAAACAGAAAGGGACAGGGCGAGTACACACAGCCTCTGGTCAGGAAGAGGAGAGATGGAGCCGGAAAGAGCCGGATGGAGACGCTGAAAGCCAGACACAGAAAGATGGACAAACCGGCAAATAGTCTATTTGACGGTAGGAAGAGAGAGAAACGGTAACAGAGAGCCTCAGCCAGAGGCACCAAGCTCCTTCCTGGCTCCTACCTTGGATTTGCGGTCGGCAGCTGAGGCATCTCCAGCTCCTGAGAGATGAGGGGACCCTCTGCCCCGGCCCCTGCGGCCGCGGCCCCCAGCTCCTCCACGAGGCTGCTCCCCAGGACTGTCCTCCCAGTTGCGGGATGCCCGGCCCGTGCTTGCCCTGCCTCCCTGCTGGGGGGGAGTCCGGCCTCCCTGCTGGGGGGGAGTCCGGCCTCCCCTGCTGGTCCCTGCGGGCCGAGGGGTCCCAGGAGACCTCCGGGAAGGACCCTGGTTCTTCTCCTAGAAGTGGGGAGAGAGGAAGAGTCCAGTCACTGTAGCAGGGAGACTGGGATGGCCCAGGGGAGCTGCCAGGATGGAGGCTATCCACAGGTCTGGGGCAGCTAGAAGGGCTCCCTGTCCTCTGGTTTCCCCATCCTGGTGTGGGGCTCACCACGTCAACTGCCACATTCTCCTTCTCCAGCGAGCGGCCCTTCCGGGGAGCTGTCACGGCTACGCCCTCGAGTTCAGCTTTTTTACGATCCTCCTCAATCTCCTAGAAGCAAACATCAGAGGTAGGTGAGTGTCAGGGGTCCTGCGCACGGCTGGAATCCCACAGCCCCCTGAATTTCTCCCAAGTCTGGCCCCAGCCCAGGCCTCTCTCCTGAGCGCTAGGCAAGAAAGCTGGTGACCTCAAAATCTTCAGCATCTTCCCCCAAACTGCAGCACACTGCTCCCCTGCTCAGACACTCCTGTGGTGCCATCTCTATGTAAGAGCCACAGGCCTATGATCTGACCTGCTTTCCACCCTGACCTCATCTCCCACCTTCTTTCCCTCTCACTCTAGCCTCCTCACTGCTCCTAGAACATACAAGGCTCAGAACTGCCTCAGGGCCTTTGCACTTGCTGTTTTCTCTGCTGGAAACACTCTTCCCCCAGAGATCCTTCAGTCTCTCACCTCCTTTAGGTCTTCACTCAAATGTTCCCCTTCTTAAGGAGGCCTTCCCTGACCTGCTTATAGAAACCAGCTCCCCACCATGTCCCACCCCTTCCCCTGTTCATACCTGGCTTATGTATATTTTGCCTATTGTCTGCCTCCCCCTGCAACAGAATCTGACTGGGGACTGGGACATCTGTCTGTTTTGTTCACTGATGTATATCCCGAGCCTAGAACACTGCCTGGCACACAACAGAAACTCAATATGCTTTTTTTTCTTAATGAAGGAGTGAATGAAGAATGAGTCAGTGAAACTGCATCCTCCTCCCAGGCCCCATCTCTGGGACAGCTCCACCACCTACTCTGTCACCTTTGGCAGGGACCTGGGCCTTGACCTGGACTCTCCCCACTCCTCCCTAACTCCCACCACTGCCCATCAGTCTCTGAGTGCCTCCTAAGAGCCCTGTCCCAAGCCAAGCACCTTCCTCCTTGGCCTCTGGTCTCCACTATCGCTTCCTCTCATCCACCACCACACAGCAGCCAGAGGGGTCTTCCTAAAAAGGTATTCTGACCTGGCTCCACTCCTCTCAAAGCCCTCCATAGCTCCTCAGTGTCCTCAAGAAAAAGTCCAAACTCTTAGCCTGGCCTCTGCTGACCTCTACAGGTTAATATTCCCCAACTGACCCTCTAACTTTAAGCTTCAAGTTTTTACACAAACTGTTTCCTCTGCTTGAAACATGCTCTGCTCTACTTTTCAACTGGCTAATGTCTACTCACCCTTCGGGTCTCAAAATCCCCTTCTCCAGGAAGCCATCCCTAATATCCTCCAGGCTGGGAAAGAGCCCTCTCTGGGCTCTCAAAGACCCCTAAAGATCCCAGCCTTGCCCACCTGGGTCATCACTGATTGAACACAGCTCTGTGCCCCCATTGGACTGTTAACCCTGGAAGGGTAGGTCCCTGGCTGTCTCAGTCACAGCTGTTTCCACAAAACCACTCAGCACAGGGCCTGGTACAGTGAAGATCTTGGTGAATATTTGTGAATGGATGATGGAATAATGGCATGAAGGAAGGATTGCCAGGCTAAGGCCTTTGGCTTTTATCCTGAGAGTGAAGGGGAACCATGAAAAGGTTTTAAGGAAGGGAGAGGTGAGGGAAACTCACTGCGGGGAGGAGAGGGGGTGGGGTCTCCCAGGGCAGGGCTAGGGCACCTGGTAGCGCCGGATGAGGGCCTCATTCTTCCGCCTCAGAGCCTCGATCCTCTTGTCCAGTTCAGCATCCTTCTCCTCCTTCGATTTCAGATCCAGCGCGGCTGACTGAGATAGAGAGACAGCTGAGAGGCAGTAAGAAAAACCTATACCTACCCCAGTGCCATTCAATCCAGGGTCTGAGTCTGGCACCTGGGGCCCCTCCTCCCAAGTCCCCTGCTCTAAAGCTCAGGTTCCAAATTTGCCATCTCACCATTCCACTGGCTGGGTGGGGCCAGCGTGCCAGCAAACCTTCCCCACAGAATCTGGACACAGCACTGGGGGTTCCTGAGGGCAGAAGGAGCAGAACTAAGGCCAATGCTCCCCCAATCTGCTTCCTCTCCTCCCATCCTGGGTCCTACACACACACACACACACACACACACACACACACCTGCACCCCAAGAGAATTCTAGCCCTCACTCTCAAGTGCTCTTCTTGAAATACCAGCCCGCCCCTTACCTGAAAAATTTTAGGCTCTGTCCCGGGTGAACATTTGGACCCACCCATTTCCTTGTAAACACCAGAGTCACACCCACCTCGGGAAAGTTCTGGCCCCATTCCACCGCTTAAGAAACCACCTAACACTGCTTCCTTCCAAACGAAGTTCCCTAGTCCAGCCTCCACACCCCTTTGCTGAGAGTTTTAACCCGGGCCTCCATCTCAAGAGAGCTCTAGCTACATCTTCTCCCCTCAACCTGTGCAAGGAAGTTCCAGGTCCACTTCCCTGTGCCCACTGTGGTGCCGCTCACATCCCTGTGAACATTCTAGATATCCGCTCCACTCTAAAAAAGCTCGAACCCCACTCCTAGAGGCTGCCCCAGCTCTCAGAGAACATTCTAAACCCACGCCTGCCTCGGGGTTGTCCCAGCCAAGTCCCCACCATCCCGAGAAAAATGCAGCTTCCTCCCTGCAAAGATTCTGAAAACAGGCCCGGTACCCACCGGAGAGGCTTCCTGAGCCTGGGCCGACCTCCCCAGTGAATACTCTCCCTGCCCTGACACGCACAAAATTCCCGACCTGCCCGTGACTAAACAGGGAAAAGCTCCAGCATCCACCGGGTCTGGAAGGCCACGGCCCGCCCCGCCGCCCGGACAAACTTTCTGGCCCCGCCCACACTCTCTCGTCATTGACAGTGATCTGGCTCCGCTTCCGACTTCCCAAGCGAACCTCTGGCCCCGCCCCCGGGTCCCCGGGCAACAGCTGGAACCCGCCCCTCCTTCTCGCGTTATTACGCCGGCCCCGCCCCCGGCTCGCCACCTATCACTGGCCACGCCTCCGATTTGCCCAACCGACCTTCTAGCCACGCCCCCTGGCTCCCGCCCTCTCCTGGTCGAGTCAAGATCTGGCCCCGCCCCCGGCACCCCCAGCTAAGGGGCAGCCCGCTTCCGGGCTAATGCTCTGACCTTGCCCCGGGCTTCAGCAAAACTTTCTGGCTCCACCCCAGTATTCCCCTGCCCTGGCCCCTCCCCTTAACACACCCCCGCAAC